AGCAAAGCAGGATAAGTACTACAAGGGAAGTCTACACATTGAATGCCTATATTAAAAAATACATATTTCAATCAACTTAATGATGCACCTCAAGGATTGTGAACAGCAAAAATAAACCAAATTGCAAATTTTAGAAGAAAAGAAATTAACAAAGATCAGAGCAGAAATAAGTAAAATAGAGAAAAAAATTAAAAACCAAAAGATTCATGAAACAGAGTAGGTTCTTTGAAAAAGATGAATAAAACTGACAAACTTTATCTACACTATCCAAGAAAAAGAGAGAAGACTCAAAACTAAAGATTAAAAGGAAGACATTACAACTTATGCTACAGAAATACAAAGGATCATTAGGACTACGAAAATTTACATGTCAGAAAGTGGAAACCCTAAAAGAAATGGACATATATCTGGACACTTATGTCCTACCAAAATTTAATCATGAGGACCGGTTTTTTTTCCGGTGACCAATAATAAGTAATGAGACTGAATTAGTAATAAAGTTTCCCAACAAAGAAAAGCCCAGGACCAGATAACTTTATTGCTGAATTTTATCAAACATTTATTTGTGTGTGGGAGGGTGCTAGTGGTGTGGAGAGGTCTTGTTATGTTGCCAAGGCTGGCCCTAAACTTGTGATCCTCTTGCTTCAGCCTACTGAATAGCTGGGATTATACTTTATCAAACTTTTAAAAGAACTAATGCCAATTCTTTTCTAAGTATTTCACAGAACTGAAAGGGAGGGAACTCTTCCAAACTCATCTTAGGAGATAGCATTACCTTGTTATTCAAACCAGAAAAGGATGCCAAAACAACACAACAACAACAACAAAACTATCAGCTAATACCTCTCATGTATATAGATACAAAAATTTTCAACAATATAGTAGCAGATAGGGGTTGGGGATGTAGCTCAGTGTCAAAGAGTGTTTGCCTAGCACGTGTAAGGCACTGGGTTTGATCCTTAGCACCACATAAAAATAAACAAATAAGGGGCGGGGGTTGTGGTTCAGTGGAGAATGTATGCTTAGCATTTTTGAGGCACTGGGTTTGATTCTTAGCACTGCATATAAATAAATAATACAAAGGTCCATCAATAACTAAAAAAAAAAAGGCCTGCTGTCCATCTACAACTACAAAAAATTTAAAAAATACTAGCAAATCAATTTGGAAGATTGGAACTACATTGCTGATGAGAATGTAAAATGCTTCAACTAATTTGAAAAATACTTCAATTGTTTATTAATATTTTAAATTAATGCCTATCACATTATCTAGCTACTCTATTTCTCAATATTTACCCCAAAGAAAATGAAATATATATGTTCATACAAATGTTCATGGATGATTTATTTGTAATGAGCTCAACTAGAAACAATAAAGATGTACAACAGGCAAGTGTAAAAAAAAACAAAACTAGCAAATCAAGTTCAGCAGCATAATTAAAAAAAAGGTCAATCACCATAATCAAATTAGATATGATCCAAGGATGATTCAACATATGCAAATGAATAAACACAGTATATAACATCAAAAAGAATAAAAATCATATGGTCATATCAATAGATGCAGAAAAAGTATTTGATAAAATTCAGCATGACTTCATGATAAAAGCTCTACATAAAATAGGTACAGGATTGTACCTTAACATAATACAGGCTGTATATGACAAACCCACAGCTAACATCATACTGAATGAGGCAAAGCTGAAAGCAGTACCTCTGAGATCAGGAACAAGAACACAGCTGTCCACTATCACTGCTTACTAGAAGTTTTAGCCAGAAAATTAGGCAAGAGAAAGAAAGAAAAGGGATATAATTAGGAAGGGAGGAAGTCAAATTATCCATTTGCAGACAATTATATATGCAGAGAAACTAAAAGCTCCACCAAAAGACTATAAAAACTGATGTACAAATTCAGTAAAGTAGGAGGATAAACACCCCCCACACACACACATCAGTAACTTTTCTATATACCAATAATGAATTTGCTGAGAAAGAAATCATGAAAATACTCTCATTCACAATAACTATGAAATAACAAACAACAACAAAACTCCCTAGGAATAAAACGTATCCAAGGAACTAAAAACCTCTACAATTAAAAAAAAAAAAAAAACACCAATAAAGTAAATTGAAGACAGAGGCAGGCAGGCAGACAGACAGACAGACACACACACACACACACACACACACTGGAGACCTCTTACATTCATGGATTAGAAGACTTGATATTGTTAAAACGACCACACTACCCAAAGTGATATACAGATGCAAAACAATCCCAATCAAAATATCCCAGACATCCTAACAGGACTAGAAAAAACAATTTCAAAATTAACATGGAAGCGCAAAAATTGTGAATAGCTGAAGTGATCACAGGCAGAAAGACCTAAGCTGGAAACATCGTAATGAATGATTTCAAAAATACTATACATATGATAATCAAAATAGCATCATATTGGCATATAAATGGACCAAAGAACAGCAGACATGCAGAAATACCCATCCCCCCATATCTAATGCCTCCTTATTCTCAAGAAAAGTGCCAGAAACACACCCTGGAGAAAGGAAAGCCTCTTCATTAAAGGGCAGTAGGAAAACTGGATATCTACCTGCAAAGACAGAAACTTGACCTTCTCTCTCACCATGTTCAAGGATCAACTCAAAACAGATCAAAGAATAAAATGTTAGACTTGAAATTCTGAAACTATTAGAAGAAAACATGGGGGGAAAACTTCAAAACATTAGTTCAGGTAATGGTTTTCAGGAAAGGACCCCAAAAGTACAGGAAACAAAAGCAAAAACTGATTAAGATTATCACATCAAACTAAAAGGCTTCTTTGTCAGGCACAGTAGTACATGCCTACAATCCTAGAGACTTGGGAAACTACAGCAGGAGGACTGCAAGTTTGAGGCCAGCCTCAGCAATTTAGCAAAATTAAAATAAATAAATAAATAAGGATGAACATGTAGCTCAGTGGTACAGTATTACAGGGTTCCATCAGTAGTACCCTGCCACACACAAATAAAAATAAAAGTAAATATCTTTCTGTTTTCTACATAGCAAAGTAATAATCAATGGAGTGAAGAGACAACCCTCAGAATGGAGAAAATATCTGACTGACAGAGGATCAATATCCAGAATACATAAAGAACTCAAAAAACAAAAAACAGGCAATCCATTTTAAAAATGGGCAAATGATTTGAAGAGACACTTCTCAAAAGAAACACAAATAACCAAAAAATATATGAAAAAATGCTTAATTGCATTAGCTGTAAGATAAATACAAATCAGAACTATAATAAGATACCTTTCAGTGGCTATTATAATACCACAGAATGGCTATTATTAAAAAAATGCTGGTGGGCTGGGGATGTGGCTCAAGTGGTAGCGAGCTCGCCTGGCATGTGTGCGGCCCGGGTTCGATCCCCAGCACCACATACACACAAAGATGTTATGTCTGCCGAAAACTAACAAAAAAAATAAATAAATATTTAAAAAAATTCTCTCTCTCTCTCTCTTAAAAAAAAATGCTGGCAAGGATAAGGAGAAAAAGGAGTTTGTATACTCTTGGAGGGAATGAAAATTAGTATAGCCATTATGAAGAACAGTACAAAGATTCTTCAAAAAATTAAAAATAGATTTATCAAATGACCCAGTTATTCCACTTCTAGGTATATATCCAGAGGAAATGAAACCAGCATATTCACTAAATACCTGCATGCCCAAGTTTATTGTGACACTATTTACAAGAGCTAAGAATTAGTCTATGTGCCCATCAACAGATGAATGGATAAAAAAAAAATATGTGGATGTATACACAAGGGAATATAACTAGCCACAAGAATGGAATCCTGTCATTGCAGCAAAATGAATTGAACTGGAGGACTTTATGTTAAGTGAAAAAAGCCAGATACAAAAAGACAAGTACCATATGTCTTTCATACGTGGAAGCATAAAAACGCTGACCTTAAAAGAATAGTGATTACTTGAGATGGGAAAGATATGGTTAGGGGGAGTGGTTGGAAAAGGGGGGATGGATTTGATTACTACACGCTCTATATGCATAGATGGAAATATCACACTAACCCCATGAAAATGTATGATTTGATTAGTGCACGCTCTATGCATATACAGAAATATCATACTAACCCCACTAATATGTACAATTACTACATATTAATAAATAAGGGGATTGTAAATGAAGACCACGGTGATTTATTAGCCATCAGATTGGCAAATATTAAGAAATTTACAAAACTAATAAAAGAGAATGCATTAATGAAAAGCATTATATACTGCTAGTGGTGTAAATTAGCAAAACCATTTTGGGAAACAATTTGAGACTATAAAGGTGAGCAAACCCTACAACCCACTGCCACATTTATAACTTTACTATGCCTCTGTTCCAAAAGATATGACAAGAATGTTCTAAGCAGCAAAGTTTGTATTAGTAAAGAACTGGAAAAACCCTATAGGAGAATAGATACACAGTGGTATATTTTCATAGTAAAATTCTGAACATCAGTGCAAATGAATGAGCTACACCTATAAGCAACATGGAAATAGAAGCAGAACAAAATAATAAAACAAATCCCCAGTGAGTACTGAGAATATAATGCCATTTTTACAAAGCTTAAAAACTAACACACCTATGATAAACCTAGCTTTTAAAAAGCAGAGAAAGCAAAAATCTTTGTCACTGGTTACAGGAAGTGGAGATGATTGAAGGTTATGATAAGAGAAGTGCATCTAAGTGGAGGCCAGTTGGTGATAATGATAGAGTTGTTGGATTGGTTGGGAGAGGTAGAAAATTCCATCTTAATACTAATATGCTTTATAATCTAACTTCATAATTTAGGTAAATATGTGTATACATACATACATATATTCTTCTATTCTATGACATATATAAAATAAATTTTAAAAAGAAGAAAGATGACTAAAATATGCTAGCTGATATTCATGGCAATGGAAACAAAATCTCCAGCCTAATACTTACTGGTCAAGAGTCTTATAATAAATGTCCAGATCTTTGTTTACCAGCTCTGTTGTTCTCATAACAATCATCATTTCTCTATACTTTTCCTCAGCATCTCGAAACTGAGGTTCTCGAAGTTCTTTCTTAAAATGAATAATTTCTTCCTCATAACCTTTCTGTCGCCCCAATGCCAAACTGTGATTTCTTTTTATATTGTCTATGTTCTCTTCCAACTTCTGATGTTCACTGTAAAAGGGAAAATTTTTTTTGTTCACAATATGTCCAAGACAGTCTAGTTTTATCTGAAATAAACAATTTTCTACAGTAATTTTTATTAAAAAGCTAGACTTCTCTATTAAAAAAAAATTACTCTTGCACCCAAGTATAAAAACTGAAACACTGACCAAAAAGAAGTAAAATAATCAAAATCTTATGATAATCTAGCAGGTTATACAGGCTTCAATGTATACTTTAAAAATTTTTTATTTATTTAACAATTGTTTATTTATTAAACATCCTCTTAGGAGCTAGACATTGCTCTCAAGTTTATAGACATCTGAAAGCTGGCCTGATTGTACATTCTGTTGACATTTCTGTTGTATCCTAGTTGAAGAAAGGTTTGAAAAAGAACAGATGAATCTGAAATCTGAGTGAATGTAAAAGGCATTATTAAGTACTAATCACAGAAATTTTTAAAATATCTGGTTTGGGTCTTTAGTAGTAAAGAATAAATTATTTCATTTAAAGTTCCTTCTAAAAGCTTTCCTTTTCCAACTTGCCAGAGAAAGCACTAATATCACTGTGTTAGAGCTGAGGTTTGAGAGCTAAAGGGATGTTGGGGTCATATTCTTGGTTTTCATCATAATTTTTTCTGTGACTTTTCTGAGTCTTGGTGTCCAAATCCATAAAAAATGAAGAAGCCGAAGATAATAAGCTCTTCCAGTATGGTCTTCGCTATCTCAAAGAAATTTTGAATAGATAAACCAAGTACTTAACCACTTGTTAGATTGTATAAATTAAATTAAAACTTCACTTTTACTATATCCTTTAGAAAATCCTAAGCATTCTTTGATTCAGATTTCTGAAAATGAACAAGGAAGAACTGAATAAATAAATGAGACCTCGATTAAAGCTGTTGAGGAGGTTAAAAATGGCAAGTACAATCTTTTACACCTTCCTAGTATTTTAGAATCAAACAGCTTCTTTGAGAATTCTTAAGTTAACTTTAATGCAGGGAAGGAAGGAACAAAATCTTTTCTGTTGTACCAGGAAGGAAGCACCCACAATAAATACCAATAATACCAAATGAAGGAAGAGTCTGGCTAATCTCTCTCTCTCTCTCTCCCTCTCTTTCACATACACTCAAAATGTTCTAGTGGGCACAAAATTATAACCAGGACATAAGTCTCCATTGGCAAATTGCTCTGGAAATAACTCCACTGGCAATATCATGGACTGTACAAGTTATAAGCCAGGTAGGGCCCATAGTTGTATATTCTGTGTGCTCAGTACCACTAGTCTGTGCAGTAGGTCAGAAGAAGTCTGGGGACCTGGGATAATACTAATTACTGTCCCTTCCCGCAGTATGATTATCAATTTTATATTACTTTTCAGTAATTCAATTTTTAAGGCTATAAGATATAAAAACCGTGTCCACCTTCCTTTAAGTCTCCAAGAATATTAAGCTGAGGCTTAAATTCTTCCACAAAATAGTTATTTAATTTCCTTACATTACAATAATAAAGACCTCTATTTAAACTAAGAACTATTTTTAAAAACCCACTTTTTCATTTGTAAAACCTGCATTTGACCCATTTCCTTCAAATGCTGTTTTCTTTCTTCTTCAACTTCTTTTAGTTCCTCATTTCTTTTTCTTAAAGTGAGGTTGTCCTGTAGCCATCTTTCTTGTATCTAAATATAAATATTAAGTCAGTTAATGAAAATAATCAAGTTATAAACAGGAGATACATAACAGAAACATGCCAACAGGTAGTGCTAATTCGGCCTTACTTAGAATCATGTTAAATTGGACAAAGGGAGAACTAACCAGTGTGAAGTTATCTCTAGGCCTATACTAATCTAGATGGCTAACAGTCACAGGAGGGACATCTGTAATGTAGATTTTACTGCCCTTTCCTGACCATGATGTAAAGTTATTTTCCTATTTGACTGGGTGGTCCCATAACAAATGATATGAGCATATATCTTTGTGTACTTGTTTACTTATGAAGTATTTGGTTAAAAATGCTATTGAATATGTTCATCAAAACATATATAAAACAGGAATTTAATATGATGAAATAAAAAATTACACAGTTAATATCTACATTCCAGTGAATCACATCATGTCCAGAAACTCTATGATGGAACCTGTTGATCTAAAAGATAGTAAGACTCATCAATATGTACAATTTTAGTGTCTCTATGGTATCAGTTAAAAATAAGTCTAATTTTAAAAAATCATAAGAGATCACTGCTACTGCTGAAATCTCCCTATACTTATCATGTGCCAAGACTATTAGCTTCTATAAGTATACGTCAGATACAACCTCTGCTTTCAAGTTTACAAAAACAGTGTAAGCATCTACCATGAATTTGGAGCATTTCAGATTTTTTGGATTAGGGCTGCTCAACAAATAAGTCTATGCAAACATCGCAAATCCAAAAGACTGAGATCTGAAAGATTTCTGGTCTCATGTGCTTTAAATGAGACTCTCAATTTATAATGGTCATACAAGCAGTAAGAGGTGCCATAAAAGTAGTGTTTGTCTACAAACTTCTTGATATATTCCTGGCTATTGAATTGAATTTGTAAAAACTACCTGCTACTACTCCTTAAAAAGGATAATCCCTTAGTAATGGCAGCAAAAAAAAATTTTCCCAGTAGCTTTCCTGGTGTGTATATAATGAATTATATTGTCAAGAGATAAACACTAGTAAGGAATTTATAACTTGACTCTTTGGAATTAAAAAAAAAAAAAAAAAATCTTGCAGAAACAATGGTGGTCTGGCCCCCATAATCCACATGTGTAAAATTTAACCTGAGTTTGCAGTCAGAACTTCTCAAATATTAAAGTGGGATATCTAATAATAGCCCTTGCAGCTGAGTAAAACTCAGTGATGCAGGAAGCCAAGGAGGGAAGGTCAGATTTTTGGTAATACCTTACTGCCAACAATGAAGGTCAGGGAGAAAGGCAGGTAGGAGCAAGAAGGGAAGTTAAGGATTTCTCTCACATGCTCAATGTTCATGTCCAGCCTTGACTATCTAGAAATCACCATTTTTATGTTTTTTAAAAACTTTCAAAAATTTAAGGCTACTTTCAACTTTCCTGAAAATATTATAAATAGACACAATTTTGCTAATGGCAATATTATAAGCAAAGGTAGCTAGAATGACATGGTTTTAAAAGTTCTCTGAGGCTGAGACAACCACCATATGTAGTTATAGGTAGCTGCTATAGCACTGTAATTAGCTGCTACACCTCCTTAAAGCTCTTCCTTCCATGGGAAACTATACTACATTTCCTCATTAGGAAAAAGAAAATGTCCCAATGCCTCGATGCCTGTTTTCATCTGATACTATGTAATACCTAAATCTGCTTTCATAACTACATGAAAGGACTCTTGGGGTTAAAGTGCTATCACATGTTAGGTAAGACTGATTTTTGGCAAAAAAATGATGTTTGTGGTCTATTTACCTGCATGATCACCAGGAAAGCAGGCATTTCTTTCTTTTAGGTCAGCTTCTATTACTATTTAGCTTTGAAAGACAGTATATAGTTCAGTAGTTAAAAAGCAGAGGCTTTGCTGGGCATGGTGGTGCAGGCCTGTAATCCCAGCTCAGGAGGCTGAGACAGGAGGATCCCCAGCACAAAGCCAGCCTCAGCAAGGGCGAGGCGCTAAGCACCTTAGTGAGACCGTCTCTAAATAAAATACAAAATAGGGCTGGGGATATGGGTAGTTGTTGAGTGATCCTAAATTCAATCCCCAGTGCCCACCGCTCCCACTCCCCAAAAGCATAGGCTTTGAAGTCAGGTATACTTAGGCTCCGATTTTGGTACTATAACTTTTAAACACAATAATTTTGGACAGATTAGTTTAACTTTTCTGAACCTCAGTTTGCTTGTAACATGTAATGAGCTATTGTGAAGGTTACTTAAGTTAGTGTCTGTAATCAGTACAGTGCTTGGCTCAATAATTGAGAGTAAAAGCCTTCTGGGTCAAATTTATCCTTTTAACTCTAAGCTGTGAAAATTCCAATTATATCTTATAAAATATCAGAGAAAGGGAGGAAAGAAAACCAGATACAGTGATAGTATACCAGTACTGTTTTTCACTACACTAGAAATTTGACAATGTACAGTCAAGTTCTAAATCTGTTGCTACTTGTGTACCCTTGGTCAAGTCAGATCACCTTCATGCCCTTTGATATTGCCCTTCATTTGAAAAATAAGGGAGGCAGATTACTAGTTTTCAAATAATTTTATTCTTAGGATTAAATTTAGTAGGGCTTAAATAAGCATGTAAACAAATATTATTAGTTTTCCCAGTTCTTAAACAGCAACTCTACTGCAGTTATAGTTCAGTGGTAGAACACTTGCCTCACATGCGTGAGGTACAGGGTTTGATCCTCAGTACCACATAAAAATAAATAAATAAAATAAAGGTGTAAAAAATAAAATAACATTAAAAAAATAGCAACCCTAATCAGTTAGCTCAGATGATACATTATGCAGGCAGTTTGCTGTATTAGGTCTTTCCAAAGACAGAACTAATAGGATATATAGGAATAGATACATGAGAAGAGATTTATTAGGGCAATTGGCTTGTGTAGTCATGAAGGGTGAGGAATCTCATGATAGCAAGCTGGAGACCCTGGGATGCCGGAAGATGGCATAGTTGAAGAGTAAAGCCTCAGAACCAGGGAGCTCAATGGAATAGCCAATGGTATAATTCTCAGTGGGAGGCCAAAGGTCTGAAAACCCAGGGGGCCATTGGTCTACAACCAGAGTCCTAAGGCCAGAGAGCCCAGAGTTCATATTCAATGGCAGAAGAAGAAGAGTAGCCTAGCTCCAGAGAAAGAAAGAGGATTTTTTTTTTGTTGCTGTTGTTCTCCTCAGGTCTCTAGCTAATTGGATTGTGTCCATCCACACTAAGAGCAGATCTTCCATACTCAGTCCACTGACTCACAGACCAATCAACTCTGGAAACACCTTCAAACATACTCAGGGGTAACATTTTGCCAGTTCTCTAGGTATTCCTTAATTCAGTCATACTGACACCTAAAATTAACCATCAGAACCCCACCCCTTCTCAACTTGGCATCCAAACATATCTCCTTAAACTATACTTTCATAGCTCCAAATAAAGACAACAAGATTATAGTTCTGCCTAACAAGGCACAACTATCCTATATTCAGTTGAAAACTCACTAAATCTATTCCCCAGAGACTTTACAAGGAGGTAAAGTCTTTGGGTAATATTATTCCTGTCCTGATATCCCATAACTTGAATAATATGATATAAATATTTTTTATTATTTTTTAGTTTTAGATGGACACAATATCTTTATTATATTTTTATGTGGTGTTGAGGATTGAACCCAGTGTCTGCGCATGCCAGGCGAGTGCGCTATACCACTTAAGCCATGTCCCCAGCCCTATGTTGTAAAATTAATAGTATATTCTCACATTAAATAACAACCTTTTGATCAATGATAGACCACATATGATAAGATTGTATTGCCTTGTAATGATGTAGCTATCTCAGTTCATGCAAATATGTTCTATGATATATGTACAAAAATGAAATTGCCTAATGACCCATTTCTCAGAATTTATCCCCATCATTCAGTGACGCTTGACTGTGTGAATATATATATATATATATATATACACACACACACACACACACATACAAACATATTATTAACAAAATAGGAAGAAAATGTTTATGACAATTAGAGTTCTTGGTTCTGTAACTGGTCACATGGTAATAGTTGGCATTCAAAACTTCCTTCTCTTATTCTTTTTACCATTATTTATTCTTTTTGCTCAGAGTTGACCATGGTTCTCTACCTGGTATGGTGACCAAAATCTTCACATTCCTGAAAGTCTGAGCCATTCATAGTCCTGAGTGAAACGGGTTGTGGCACTTTTCCATTTGACCTTAATCATAGGGCATGGTAAGATTAAGAGATACCCTAAAAGGATTTCCTGTGTTCCAGACATCCTATTCCTTACCCTCACTATGGAACAGTAGTCCAATTTCCCCTTGTTAGGATCAATCACCACAGCCAGTACTGTAACTTTCTTCTGTATATGTTGACTCAGAGAAATAAAGAGCCCAAAGTGACAGGGTGGCCATCTTAACTTCCTGTGCAGTGAAATGACTGTTCTGTCTCCTGGTAGCAGGATACCTCTCTCTGGCAGAACGTTAAGTCAGGAGAATAGGAAGCAAAAATTTTGCTAGTGGTCACTAAGGATAAGGGTCAGCTACTTCCATTTCTACCCCTTGATTCCTGGACCTATGAATCCTGGCTACAGGAAAAAAAAAAAAATGGTACCATAAATTGTTCCCTTTTTAAGAGCACAGACAGCCTTCTGGAGAACCATGCCCCAATCCTGCAAAGTCACCTAGCTGGCACTATAAATGCATCTTCCAAAGATTATTTCAAAGTTCTATCAAGTCAGCTGCTTCAGGATGATGAGGATCATGTTAAAAACCACTGAATTCCATAAGCAGGAGCCCACTGCTATAATTCTTTAGTTGTAAGATGAGTTTCTTGGTCAGAGGCAGTACTGTGCAGAATACCATGATGGTGGATAAAGAATTCTCTAAGCCCGTAGATGGTAATCTTGACAGAAGCATTACTTGCAGGGAAAGCAAATCCACATTCAGAATGTCTACTTTAGTAAGGACAAAGCACTGTCCCTTCCATGCTGGAAGTGGTCCAATATAATCAAACTGCCAATAGGTAGCTGGCTGACCACCGCAGGGAATGTTGCCATATTTGGGGCATTTCATATATAAATACATTTATACAATATGTAGTCTTTTGAGACTAGCTTCTTTTGCTTAGCATAATGTTTTAAAGGTTCATGTCATGGAAGATACTAATACATCATTCCTTTTCATAACTGAAAAATATCCCTCTACAGTCATATACTACATTATGTTTATCCATTCATCAGCTGATAGTCATTTGGGTCGCTTCCACATTTTGATGGCTATGAATAATGCTGCTAAGAACATTTCTTGTACCAGTTTCATGGGAACATATGTTTTCAATTTCTTGATTCAATGCCTAAGAGTGGAAGAACCCAGATGATTTTGATGGGTGGCCCTAGCTAAGAATCACTGCTTTCAAAACACTGTAACATGTTATTTTAAGTTTCAATCACATCACTTTCTCTAGAACCTCCTCCTCAAGAGCTGATGCTGACACGTTTAAAATAAAAGCCCAATTAAGTTTGTTAAAAGACACAGTTGTTATTAGTCTACACAGAGTCCTCTTTTCAGAGGAACAGAGACATTTTTCTCTGATCTTAGTCGAGGGAACTTGTTTCTCTTAGCTTTGATAAAAGGTGAAATCTTAACTAATTGTGACTTTCTCTCTTAAATGGACTACTAGAATCTTTAGCAAGCATATTAGACTTTTTCTTTTTCTTTTTTTGGTACCAGAAATTGAACCCAGGGGCACTTAACCACTGAGCCACATCCCAACCCACCCCTCTTCCCCAAGTGTGTTTTATTTAGAGACAGAGTCTCGATGAGTTGTTTAGGGCCTTGCTAAGTTGTTGAGGCTGGCTTTGAACTCACAATCCTCCTGTCTCGACCTCCTGAGCTGCTGAGATACAGGTGTGTGCCACCATGTCTGGCCAGACTTCATTTATATATATAAATACACACAGACACTTTATACACACTTATACACTTCTCTCCTGGTTTCATTACCTTCTTGTCCTTATATCACTTTGTTTTCACCTTAACTGAATATGTATTTGACAATGCTCTACTATTTCTAAGTTTGTAAATAATTTCTGTTAATAAGGCAGGTTACAAAGAAAACTGATGCCATCAGATTCACTAAGCTCAGACCACCAATTTGAAAAAGATCACAGATTGGTAAATATTAAGTTTTTGAATATGTCTGTATATAAGTATATACATACAGAGAGGCAGGGAGCTGTATAGATTGTGATTTTATATAGTCAACCCATATATAAACTAGTAATAATTAAGTTCTTTGTAATACACAATTCATAAATATATAATGTATTTGGCATTTATGAGGTCACCAATTTACCTTTGACTGGTATTTGAAATTCCTGTTATAGTCAGAGATTCAGAAGAAAGCTGATCTGGATAATCTTCAAAGATTTTTAATCATTTATAACCAAGTGATTATAACAATCAAATGGAAATTTTTGTTTAAAATATGGGAACAGAAAAATTATGCAGTTTTCCATAACATTAACAACCATGGCTGCCTAAGACATGCTGAAGATAGTATCTCTATGTGGTTTTAATTACGTTGTAGAAATTGATTTCCTTAATAGAGAAATAAGTGAAAAAGGAAATCAATTGTGAAATGACTTAATATTATAAATATTTTCCCTCACAGGTAACTTTTTTTTGGTCCTCACAAAACTTATCTTTTATTTTTCATTCTCCTTGTATGAAGGAGTGAATGATGGAAGTCTATGGGGGCAGAAACCAAAAGGCATAGAGGGTTTTGAGAAAAACAGATATTTAAATTGCCAGAGATATGTGCCAGCCCTTGAGTTAGCCCAAGTAAATCCAATAAATCTCACACACAGGCAAAATCCCTCTATGTTAATTCTGTTCATATCAATCAAAACTGGATAGGGATGTGCAACCCTTGGTAATATATTTTTCATTTTTTAAATTATTTTTTATCATTCTCCCTTAGTATTTTTTTTTTTTTAAATGGTGGCTTATTTCAGCTGTGCTTAAGGAGAACAAAAGTAAAAAATGTTAGGCCATGCATAGACCAGAATGTTAAGGCCAGAGTTTTCTAAGGACTCTTAAGGGTAAAAATTACCCCAGGTTAAACCATAAATTCAATATTTTTCTTAGGACTGCAATAGTTCAAGATGGTACACAAACATCTTCCCTTACCTGTATAAGCAATTCAATATAGTAACTAAGTCAAAATATTGTCAATATAGTGAAATAGCACTCTCAGAGCATAAAATTTAAAAAGCCAATTCAAATTACGGTATCAATCATGTGATTGTATTGCATGATCTGCAGTTAATGCATGACAGAAGTCTTATGTTACCACATATAACAATGAATCCTTCAGAAAGAATACATTAATGATCTTAAGTTTTTTGACTCAAGAAATGAAACAAGGAAATTATTAGTGAATTTCCTGTGAAATAAAAGGGAAAAAAAGACACCACATAGAAACACAGAATGAACAGAGCAGAGTAATATAAAATTGGACACTGACTTAAGCTATATTTAATATCATTGGATATGACTGTTATGGATGATTCTGACTACGGGATTTTCACCTCACAGCTACATGGAGCTCAACACACTAACTCCATAACAAAGCAGGGATTGTCCAACTAAGGTTCTTAGCTATACTGACTTCTATATTACCCTAAAAGAGGCAGGTCCTAATCCCCCTTACAAATAACTTTAAAGAATACACTAAAGCCAGGTATCGTGGTGCACACCTATAATCCCAGTGACTCAGAAGGCTAGGCAGGAGGACTGCAAGTTTGAGGTCAGCCTCCCTAACTTAGACCCTCAGCAACTTAATGAGACCCTGTCTCAAAATAAAAAAGGACTCAGAATATAGTTCAGTGGTAAAGTACTCCTGGGTTCAATCCTCAGTACCCTGCCCCCAAAAGGAATATATTAGACTTTAATCCCTCTTTTCTGAATTTATCCTACCCAAAGATATGTTAGAATAACAACAACATACAGATGCACATAGAAGAATATTCACTGCTATAGAGTTTAAAATAAGGAAAAAAGTCATCAAGTTACAGTACATACACAAAATGGGACATTTTTTAATCATTAAAAAGAAAGTGATATATCTGTAAGTTCACATGGAAGATCAAATTCTGTGAGTTAAAAAAAGGTACAGAATAAATAAATGGTATGATCCCATCTGTCAAAGTAAATTTAAACATACATATAAATAAATCTAAACTTATCTATCCTTCTATCTCTGGTATATGAATAAAAAACTTAAGAGCAAATAAGAAATTGCAACAATAAAGACATCTAGAAATTAAACTGGGAATTAGGAGGAGAAGGACACTTAATCTTCTGTCTTCATGTTTAAAAATTTACCAGTTGGGCCTTTTATTGAAAATAAAAATGAAAAATAAAGAACAACAAAAAGAACATGTAATTACAATTGCCTTCTGTTTGTATGGGATCAATGGGATCTTCTATTATAATAAAACTAGAGAAAAGAATGTTTACGTGATACCATCAGCAAAAAAGACCTACCTTCTGTGTATCAATATCTTGTCTCATGATTCCCATTTCTTTATTTATCTTTTCTTTGTTTTTGTCACATTCACTTAGTTGAGCTATTACTTTATTAAGTTCAATTTCTTTTTGCTACAAAAAAAGAAAAACTTTTAAGTGCATGAAACAAAAATAACTAAATAAATAATTTTAAGTTTTAAATTACCTTCTTATAGTCATCTTTTCCATCTTGAATATAATTCTCAATGTCTTTCATGTAACCATGAATATTTTTAATCTTCTCTTTGATATCATTCAGCTGTGGAAAAGTATTTATTAAATTTATACTAGTTGGGACCAGGACACTTAATAAGTAGCACAGTGAAACAGTGGCTTGGAAGTAGGAATCTTCAGTTCCAACTTCCACTACTATAAAATTTTATGATCTTAAGTAAGTCCTTTTATTACCAATGGGAATGGATTAAATAGTCTCAATTTTTAACTTCTATTTTAGATCAAGAGGCAAAATATTTTAAATTTTAATTCTTATTCTAACAAGTATCTCTAATATCAATGTTATTTGTGGATTTAACTCAATAGTACAGACCTGCGTAACATGTACAAAGCCCTAGGTTCAATCCCTAGTACCTCTCCTCCTCTTAAAAATAATATACATATATATAATGAATCTGAAAATACTATTAATCTTATCAAGCTATTTAATTTCACATGAAATGATAGGGCTGTAAATCTAAGTTTAATAAAGATATTTTTTAAATAAATACATAAATGAAATCTTACTTTATCCTGTGCTATTTTGTTGCTTGTATGTTTTTTGTTGATTAATTCTTCTTTTTCCTGCTGGAACTTTTCCAGTGTTGTTTCCAAAGGATTTATCTGCTCTTTAGCATCCTAAAAAAACAAAAAGTAGAAATCTTAATAAATGCCCTTTTTATGTGCCAGGCTTTAAAGTCAACTCATTTGCTCTTTTTGACAACCCTATGAGAAAGTTACCACTATTTTCATCCCTTTATTTCAGGCACAGAGAAAAATGTGTCCAGGGTTAAAACTGTAAATGATATAGCCAAGATTTTAACCCAATCTAGCTACAGAGTTTATTCTCTTAACCACTATGCAACACTGCCTCAGTCACTGACTTGATTCTTGGTTGAGGCTGTGTGCTCCCCATTCTATTATTATGTGGCTTCAGGCATGCATTTTCATGAGTTTAATACGGGCTGATGTCAGCTCTGTGTGATCAGAAAACAGGAAAAAAAAAAAAAGCTCATTTGGTTCACGATTCTCTTATACATGGGACTATCACGGCAAAACCACTTTTGTCCTTACACTTAAGCCTGCTAAGTGGTTATTATATGGTAATAAAAGTATACTCATGTTGGTATGTGAAAGGAAGGGAGTTTTCAAGTAATAAACTATTTTACTGATCAGAAGTCCCCATTATTTATCCTTGGAACATCTGTACAACATATTTATATAATAACCACTATTCAAAAAATGACTCTCAACCACCTTATGATCCTGAAATATCTACTAAACCTATAAAGACAGACATAATATTTAGGATTACTTCACTGTAGGTGTATTTTCTCATAGTGAAAAGTGGTATGGTGTAGTGGGAGGTCAAATGTCTTCAGTATAAGAAGACATATCTGAAAATCAATGCTGCCTCCTATTAGGTGCGTAAACTTGGGCAACTCATGGAACATTTGAAAATATCCATTTCTTTTACTACAAAAAGAAGCTTTAATCATCTGTTTCAATAGTGTGGCTAAAACACTGAATGTTTTAATATCAAAGTGATTTATAAGGAGTAAAAAAATAATAAATGCAAAGTAATACCATTTTTACATTATATTCTAAGCCTCTGATAATCTGTATTCAAAATTGTTTAAGAACTAAAAAAAATTTATAGTGATTAGTGATAAATGGATTCAGTAATTTATTCAGTATTTACTGAATGATCATGTATAATTATGAAAACTGCTGGGTACAGTGGCGCACACCTGTAATCCTAGCAACTCAGGAGGCTAAGGCAGGAGGATTGCAAGTGCAAGGCCAGTCTCAGCAACTAAGCAAGGCCCTAAGCAATCTACCATGACCCTATCTCAAAATAAAAAAACAAAAAGGACTGGGGATGTAGATCAGTGGTTAAATGCCCCTGGATTAAATTCCAGTACCAAAAAAAGAAAATAATATTAATATTTAAAAAATAAAAAAAAAAACCTAGGTTAACGTTTCTAGACTGTTCATAATTTAGTAGGTTAAGTCTTAGATATGAATAATCTATATTAGGCATGGCAAATGCATTCCAGTACATGTGGTAACTCAGTGCCTGTTACACTGTATTGGTAAGGAGTCTGAGACCACATCTAGAATCAAATGGAAACATTGCTCTGATGGTACGTGTCTACAATGGACATAGCATCCACAGATAACACAAATAAATCACACAGGAAGGAACCTTTATATAGATTAATCTAGCCACAACCTGACTACTTCCAATAACATGAAGTTCACTGTTTAACCAAGCAGCTGGTACTTCTTACCATGGCCAAACTCCTCTTTCCAGAAAGCTTTACTTATTAGGACAAATTCTGTCACTCAGGAAGCACAAAATTGTAACATTTTCATTTGATCCTCACGGCAACTACAGTTCTGGTCATTATGTCAATAAATATGATTTGATATATTTGAACTAATTTTAAAAACAAACATGTAAGAACTATTATACCTTTATCTCTCTATATAAAGACTGAACTTCAGTGGATAATTCTACAGTCTGCTCCTCTAGTTGTTGACGACGCTGCAAGTTAGTGGATATCTGAAGTTTCTCTGATTTAAGATCATTTGTTGTACTTTTTAGGTGTTGAATTTGTTCCTGCTGGTCCTGTATAAGTTTACGATTCAATTCAATCTTGCTGGAAACTACACAAAAACATATTGACATGATGATTAGTGAAAGGGCACACAAAATACTATTGGCATCATCCTTTCAGTTTTTATAGTACTGTGGAATCCACCAAGGCTGAATTTCTGTGGGCTCCAGTGACTGCATCAAAAGTATAAAAAGAACCCCTGCAGTTCCCAAAACTGCTTGCTATCCTCTCCTGACTATTCACAGGTAAAACTCCCAGGGTAGATGTTATTGAGAAAGAGTACAGTTCATTCAACACTCCCCTCCATCCAAGAATCTGTTGTTCAAAAGCAAGGGAACAAACAAGTGATGCTTTCAAAAAACGAGAATGGACATACTTTGGACTAAAAGGAAGAAAGTTATTTGTCCATGTAACAGGTATAAAATTCACCATAAAATCACATGTTGGCAATATTGAAATCTTTATGGTTGAGGAAATAGACTATATTACCTGTGTCTAATTTGTGTTGTTTTTCTTGTTTCTCCTGGTTTACTTGTTGAACAGTTCGATCCAAGTCTATTCCTTGTAGTTTAGCTGCTTGCTGTGCAATTTTTCTTTCAACATCTTTAAGTTCCATCTTAAGAACAAAATAGTTATTTCCTTAAAGAAATTTATTGCATTGTATTTCAAAAGCTTTTAAGCAGAGTTTAATAGTATAAAAGCGAAATTAATTTTTAGAAACTCAAATGAGGTAAAAAAAGGAAGTTAACTAAAAATGAGAACACAGAATTATGTCTTAATTTTTATAATCTATGAATAAAAAATTTAAACTCAAGAATATAAATCAAGACAGGATGGGAGAGGAGGGGAGGAGTATGGAGGATAGGAAGGGCAGCAGAATAGAACAGAGAATATGATTGATGTATGTACATTCCATGTATGTATTATATATCAAAATGCATTCTACTGTCATGAATGACTAAAAAAAATAAATAAAAATTTTTTAAAAAAGAATATAAATCAATCAAATGTTCCCTGAGGCTACCTGGAATTCTAAACATGATATATATACCTGAAAACTAGATACTATTTTTAACACTCTTACATTTCATATTTGTGTCACTAAGAAATAAGTTTTATTCTGCCTTATACTACAATAAACTTACCTGGAACCTCTCCATAATTGTAACATCTGTCAGACATACTTTAGCACTTTCTTCTTCAGGTATTATTGTACCTAAAAGTGTTTCCTGTTCTTCTATGTCACTCTTTAGGCGCTGTATGTCTCTATTGACATTCTGTAGTTTGTTTCTTAATTCTGGTATTTCCTTCTCCTTCAAATCAATTATGCTTTGCCTTAACAGAAAATAAACAATTAAAAACAATCTATCTGAAGTTTTCTCGTAGTTAGACTGAGGCTATGCATTTTTGGCAAGAATACCATACAAATGTTGTTGTTCCTTTTCTAAGCATTATATCAATGGCTACTTGATGTCACTAAGTCTTAATACTGGTGATGTTAATCTTATTCACTTGGCTAAGGTGGTTCTCAGCCAGGTTTCTCCACTGTAAAGTTACTATTTTTCTCTTTGTAAATAAAAAATCTTAGAATAGTCATAAAGAGAATATGTAACTATCCTGCTTCTCAAACTTCTGTGCACTGATTTTAGTATCCATTACTACCAATACCAATCTTACTTGCAATAATTATTACTAGGGTTGCCTGCCAAACTGAGAAAGAACCTACAAATTAACTGACCATACTCATCAAAATATCAAGGTCAGCTCGTTGCAGTGGCGCACACCTATAATCCCAGAGACTCAGGAGGCAGAGGCACGAGGACCACAAATTCAAAGCCAGCTTCAGCAACTAAGTATGGCCCTAAGCAGCTTAGTGAGACTCTTGTCTCAAAATAAAAAATAAAAAGGGCTGGGATGTGGTTCAGTGGTCAAGCATCCCTGATCCCTGGGTTCAATACCTGGTACCAAAAAAAAAAAAAAAAGTGTCAAGGTCATAAAAGACAAAGAAAGATTGATGAACTATTAGACTGCTGAAGCCTTAGAAGAAATAACAACTAAATACAATGTAGGATCCTGGGTTGTATCCTGAATCAGAAAAAGAAGAGTACTAGAAAAAAAAATTCAAATATGACTTGTTATTTAGTAAAATTAAAGTCCTGATTTTGAAACTGTGTTATGATTACGTAAATTTTTAATATCAGGAGAAGCTGGGCGAGGGGTCTATGTGAATTCTCCATACCATTTTTACAAGTTTTCCATTAAGTAGAAAATTATTTCAAAATTTAAATTTTTTAAAAAATTACAGAGAGGAAGGAAAGAAGCCAGCCATTCAGCCAAATACTACAAAGGTTAAAGATATAAAAACTGTCAACCCTTTTCATTGTCACTAATGAACTGCTGCCTCTAAGACAGGTACTGGCTCCATACATATTTTTTGTGAACACCTCTGAAGCAATAGAACTTGTATTAAATCTTTTTAAAAAATAAAGTTTATTTCAGAAAAATTCCAAATTCTTATTTAAAATTAGTACAGTAAGTTAAAGTGATATAATAAAGTAATTGCTAACAGGAATCTTAATAAAGGAAAAGAAAACCCAGAAACTCAAGGGCTGGCTCTTACATACTGTAATCATACAATGGTTAAAAAATAATGTGTACTGTGATATGACCAAGAAATGTGAACCTGAATTGATATGTGGTAACAGATCTTTTTTTTTAATATCACAGAAATATTAAGTATTCTTATTTTATATGTAAGTAAGTATGAAGGTATGCAGGTGAGGAGCAATTAATTCCACACTTATATTACTTACAGAATATTGTTATCAGACCAATTGGTCCTACATTATGTTCTCAGTACCTGAAAACTGACACAACTAGAGAGCCTAATGAAGGTCAAGCATTCACAAAACTGGGGTGTCTTTGTGAAAAACTATAGGCATACATTTTTTATATTTACACACACACACACACTGACACAGACACACACACACACACACACACACACAGCCCTTTATCAATGAGGTGCAGATTTTGGTGTCCCAATTCTTCCCTGCTGGTACTGGTGACAGAACCCAGGGGTGCTCTACTGCTGAGCTACAATATATCCTTATTCCTCTTAGTTTTAAAATTTTGAGACAGGGTCTTGCCAAGTTCCCCAGGCTAGCCTTGAACTTGTGATCCTCCTGTCTCAGTTTCTTAAGTCACTGGGATTACAATTGTGTCCCCCCACACTCCGCTTGGTCTGTTCTTTTTTGATAATAGATATAAGATGCTAAAATAACTGTTCTAAGAAAAAGTAAAGAAACTTCCCTGGAGAATGGGCTACTGAGATCTGTTAGGGTTCTCTTGAGTTATTTTCATTTTTATGAATTTTTAATTTTTTATTTCCGCTATTCATTTTTCTCCTGGTTCACAATTTTTATTAATATTATTTCAACAAATAATTAATACACATAGTTATGAGCTATGCAATGTTTTCACATAGGCATACAAGGTAGAATGATTAAATCAATTTATCATATCTATCTCCTTGCCTATTATTTTTTATGGTAAGACATTTAAAACTTATTTTGGGTTTTTTTTTTTTTATATATTTATTTTTTTTAGTTTTCGGCGGACACAACATCTTTGTTTGTATGTGGTGCTGAGGATCGAACCCGGGCCGTACGCATGCCAGGCGAGCGCGCTACCGCTTGAGCCACATCCCCAGCCCCTTGGGGTTTTTTTTTTTCTTTTTCTTTTTCCCCAGAAACTCAATTCACCTATTTAATTTTTTTTTAATATTTATTTTTTAGTTATCAGTGGACACAACATCTTTGTTTGTATGTGGCGCTGAGGTTCGAACCCGGGCCGCATGCATGCCAGGCGAGCGCGCTACCGCCTGAGCCACATCCCCAGCCCCAATTCACCTATTTTTGACAGTTCCAAAGGCATTGTACATAAAAGGGCCCACAAAAGTATGATAATAAAGCGGGGGAAAAAACTTTGGGAGCAATGGAAAATGTTAGATGAGTTTTTATTTAAATGAGGCTCTATAATAAATGAACCTGAGTCATTACTAGATAAAATGATAAACAGATGTATTTTCAGCTAAGATTTCATTCACAATGGCAGTCTCAAATTAAGTGTAGGGCTTTAAATGAAAATATTATTTTCTCCAAAGAAGAGAAGCATAATTTGGTCTCCTACTACTCCTTCTAAGCTCATCTTTCACTACTTTTTCTTTAGCCGTCAGGTCAAGCATGCTGCAGAGATTTTATGCTGCTTGAAATGTTCTTGCTCTGGGCAAATGTGTACCTGGCTCCCTCAGTTCTCTGAAGTATCCACTCAAAAGCTACCTTCATCAGCAACTTCCCTCCCATCACCCTTTATCCACTTGGTATTCCCTTATCCTACTGTTCTTTTCTCCTGGCACTGATCATCACCAGTACACTGTATATTTACTTATTTGTTTACTGTCTTTTCCCTACTAGCATATAAACTCCATGAGGGCAGGGACTTTGTCTACTTTGTCTACTGCTGCATTACCAGTGCCCCAGAAGAATATCTATTAAGTATGTACTGGCTGACAAATGGTATCTGATAAATATAACCTTTCTTGTTATTTCATTACTTCAACATCAATAATTATCCTCACTTTATATGCTATTTCACCAATAAATAACTCTCTAAGTGACGATGACAAATCAATCTCAAAAATGATGCTGACCCAGGAGGCATATAATAGTAGTATCCTATACAACCAGAGCTGGAAAAAAACTTAATGGTCATCTAAGTCAACCCCCTCACTTTATATGGGGAAAATTAAGGCCCAGATCTTTCATAATGTTATTTCCTTGGAGAGAGAAAGCCCTCTCTCATAGATACTAATCCCATTATTCTCCAGGATGACATCCCACTGGAGGAAAACAATCTAGGAGCAAACATTAGCTTGCTCTTTTGGTTTTCATGTTTTAGTACTTTTAATAAAAATGGTTTCACCATGTTTTCACTTAGAAGCCCTGTAACACCTTGGTCTCTTTTTAGTGTTTCTTCTGGAACTTTTCTTACTTCAGGTTCTTTTTTTTTACGCTGTCAAGGAACATTTATTTATTTATTTATTTATATAGGTGGTGAGAAGTGAACTCAGTGCCTCACACATGCTAGTCAAGTGCTCTACCACTGAGCTACAATCCCAGCCTCAGCTTCTTCTCTTACTGTGTGGTGACCAGAATGGCACAAGGTGCTGCTATAGATCTAAGGTTACTAGGTAGATTAAAGTCAGTCACAAATTCTTTGACTCTCCTCCCATTGAGAGGAAGAGTATCTCCTATGATTTAATCTTGGCAGGCTTTTGGTTATCCTGACCAATAGAAAATGGCAGCAGTTGTCACTGTGTTGGTTTGGGGCCCAGATCTTGAGACTTGCAGCTTTTATTTCCTGTCTCTTGGAATACCTGCACTTGGAAAACTTCCTTTGGTAGCCCAGCCACTGTGCTGCCAAAGTTCAATGACACAATGTGGAGGCCACGTGAAGGCATCCTGTTTGACAGCTCCAGCTGAGCTCGTAGCCATCAGCCAGCAGTCAGCATCACTGCTGCCAGGAATGAACTGTCTTGAATGTCTAGCCCTGTTGAGCCTTGAGATGAGTATGGCCAGTCTCTGACTGCAGCCACCTGAAAGACCCCAGGTGAGAACCACTCAGCTGAGCCTGGGCACTTCACAAAAATCATGAAAAATCATTAAAAAAATCATTGCTGTGAGGCTCTAAGTTTTGAGGATGTTTGTTATGCAGCAATAAGTAAGTGGAACAGATCCTACAGTTCTTCACTTATCAGTTATCAAAGTTATAACATATGAGGAATTGTGCAGACAAAACAATAATAAGACAGGTACCTTACTCTGAGAAGGGTCTTGAACTACTGCTCTATCTCCTTATCAAATTTTTTCTGTGGCATCACTGAACTGATGCTTATACTAGTTACCTATTATTGCATAATAAAATAACCTCAAACTTAGCAGCATAAAACACTTATTATTTCTCACAGCTATGGGATAAGGAAATATGCTTCTGACACAGGGTCTTTCATAAAGTATAGTCAAGCTGTCTGCCAAGGATGCAGTCATCTAAGGACTAAATGCTACAAAAATCTGCTTCCAAACTTACTTGTTCAAAGGCTGTAGGTTCTTGCCATATGGGCCTCTCCACAGGAAATGTTCACAACATGGCCACTACCTTCTCCCAGAAAAGGGTGGGGTAACAGGAGCCATAACACCTTAGGTAACCTAATCTTGGAAGGGATATGCTATTACTTCTGTCTCATTTTACTGGTTACACAGATTAAACCTGCAACATCATGAGAGGAGAGGACACATGAATACCAGGAAGCAGAGTCCATTGGGGACCACCTTTAACAGCTGGCTGCCACAAAACACATCTTCTTAGACCTCTCCTCCTCTTTTTTCCTGAAATTCTCCTTGATTTTCCTAGACAGTACAGTCTCCTAGTTTTTCTGCTTCCAGATATTTTTTATCCCAAGCCACTCAACTTCCCTAAAATATATATTTTATTAAATCCCTGAAGATAATTCTTTATAACTTATGAAACAATGTTATAACTAGGCCTGAATATAATGTAGCCCTATCTTCCCAACTTATGAGAATCAATTCCTACAAATAATTTCCCAAACATCAAATAACATTTCAGTTGCAGCATAGGTCCTACTGCTCTTCCTGTGCATACATGGTTATGATTTCCCTTTTCTCCTTTTAACTAAGTCATACCAAAATCTCTACTCTTCATATTCTTCTTCCTATCTCATTCTCAAAATAATTTTTCTCATTCTGTATCCACTGACTTCTCTCTTTTAAACTTGTTCATTTTTAAGCACATTATTAAGCCCAGCTTTTTATCTAATATTGAGAGCTTGCCTCTTTTTAATTAGACCATTAGTTCCTTGTGGGTCATGTCTTACTAGTCTCTGTGATCAGGCTTATACTCTATGATCTGGGAGATATCAGGGCAATCATTATATATTATCTGATTTGATTTATAAAAAGACAATTATCATTTAGCCAGGTGTGGTGGTACATCCCTGTTATCCCAAGATTCAGGAGGCTAAAGCAGGAGGATCGAAATTTCAAGGCCAGTCCTAGAAACTTAGTGAATCCCTGTTTCAAAAAATGAAAAATAAATTAAAAGGGCCAAGGATGTAGAGCAGTGGTAGAACGCCCAGATGTCAATCCTTAATACCAAACCAAACCAAACAAAATAACAACAACAAAAACCATCATCTATGGGCTGGGGTTGTGGCTCAGCGGTAGAGTGCTCGCCTCGCATGAGGGATCCTGGGTTCGATCCTCAGCACCACATAAAGATGGATGGGTGAAATAAATATAAATTGTATTGTGTCCAACTACAACTAAAAAATAAATATTAAAAAAAACCCATCATCTAAATTTCTTGTGCAACTGTTGGTAGGATTGTAAATTAGCAGTATGAAGATTCCTCAAAAGTCTACGCATGGAATCACCATATAACCCAGCTATTCCACTCCTTAGTATTTATCCTAAAGAATTAAATTCATCATACTACAGTGATACATGCTTACAGCAGCTTAATTAACAACAGCCAAACTATGGAACCAGCCTAGGTGCTCTTCAACAGATGAATGAATAAATAAAACATGGTATATATACATAATGGAGCTTCAATGAGCCATAAAACAAAAATTGACATTACGCCATTTGCAGGAAAATGAATGGAACTTGAGTCCATTATGTTAAGCAAAATAAGCCAAACTCAGAAGGTCAAGGGTCATATGTTTTCTCTCAAATGTGGAAGTTAGAGAGGAAAAAGAAAAAGAAAGGTGGCAGGAGCATCTCATGAAAATCAAAAGTAGATCAGCAGAGGAAAGGGACCAGAGCAGGTAGAAGGAGGAAAGGGAGGGGGAAGTACTGAGGAGTGACACTGGCCAAATTATATTGTGTGTATGTAACAACAACAAAAAAAAATCCATCATATGTACAACTACAACGTACCAATAAATAAAATGTGGAAAGAGAAAAATTAATTAATTTCTTGTGCAAGTATAGGAAAACAATAACAGAAACAACCTATGATTCATCCTTTTTTAAAACATTGTTTAAAATTTGATTTTTGGGAGAATTTTTCAGAACTTCAAATCATGTCTCAGGAATTAACACATACCACCCACACCCACACACCCCCTACACACAAATGTAAAGACTACATCTATTCTCTTGACTAGTTTTAAAAACAAGCTTAACTTTAAACAAAATCATTGGTTCTTCTATCATATAAAAAACACAAGGTAAGGTATGACTGGCTCAGAATCCTGACTTTGATTTCTAATTTTTCAACACATCCTTACCAAGCACCTACCATATGCCAGGCCTTACAGGGCAGATGTTACACATACAATAAGGATAAACCCTATTCTCACCTCATCGGCACAAGCCCCAGCATTTCATCACGCCGCCTTTCTTTTTTCTTCAGCTCTGATTCCGTTGACTTGAGTTTATCTGGAGCAAGCCTCAGCTTAGACTGCAAATCACTGATAACTTCTTGTAATTCAGCCTCTGTATGAAAAACTCTCTGACAGACGGGGCAACATGACTGGTTTTCATCTGTTAGCTGAGTAATGAATTGGGAGTAAACTGCTGTGGCTCCAGCCAACATGGCTATTTTAAGAAAATAAATACATTTCCAGTGAGAAAAATATCCACCTTCTTCTATAAATGTTTGATTGTTCCTCTTACTTTATAACACATTACACACGTACAAGCTTTTTTTGAAATATACAAAAAGAATAACATTTATTGAGCGATAGCTACAGTGCCAGGCACTATTCTCAGGGTTTTACATTTATAATATCACTTATTTCTCTTTTACTCTAGATGGTAGGTAGTTGTGTCTTTATTTTATAGATGATCAATCTGAAACTCAGGAAGGTAAGTTGACCAAAGTCAGACAGTAAGCTATAGAGCCTTACTGAAGTTGAAGCCATTTGACTCCATAACAAGATTTTAAAATTTCCCATTCTTAATAGTTAAATATGAATAAAAATTCATATAAAATTAAAGAAGTGTCAAAATGCCTTGATAATATAAAATAGATAACTTACCTCTCTGTTTTGAGGATTTTTCAATTTCCTCTTTAAGCTTGTCTAAATCACTTTCAAAATCCTGGCTACCACAAATATCAAACAGCTTGTCTTCATAACTGGACAACTGTTCCTCCTTTCTTCTCAGCTCATTATTTATATGATTTTTATTTTGCTCTGCTGAAGCTAGTTCCTTGCTAAAATAAAAATAAATGTGGATTATAAACATGAGAAAAATTTGATAAGGCAGAAGACAAATTCTGCCAATAAATCATTATAAGGGTTTGGTATGATCAAATACTTTTCCAAAATATCTTCCTTCCTTTTATCTATCTATCTATGTACCTACCTACCTACCAACCAATCTATCTAATTTATTAGGTGCTAGGGACTGAAGCACGTGTAAGCACATGCTCTATACTGTGTTCCATCCCTATCCCAAATACTAGTCATGGCAACAATTCATTTCTGTTTTAATGCTCCCCCTAGTACACAGACTCATTTGCCGATCCTGGTCATTATCTGCTCCCATAAAAATGTACATAGGCATAATTCTGCCTGATTTGGGGAAGTAGGGGTCATGGTCTTAGATCCCAGGTTAAGAGCCTCAGCAGGCTGAAGATACTTTGCCTACTGGAAGGAATAAGGAAAAGAAAGCATCTCCTAGTTCCCTTGGGTCCCTTTAAAATATTTCTTTAATCTCCTATGAAAGCCTTTCCTTTGTCTCCTCTTTGTTGTGATCATCTACCTATTCTCAATTGCTTATTACCTTTCATTCATCGAAGATTTGCTCACTAGGACTGGAACTGTGGCTCAGTGGTAGAGCACTTACCTAGCATGTGTGAGGCACTGGGTTCGATTCTCAGTACCACATATAAATAAATGAATAAAATAAAAGTCCATCAACAACTTAAAAAGTTTTTAAAAAGAGATTTTGCTTACTAGTATAATTTACTTCTACATCAATTCTTAAATCATGGCCAATCAAGGCTCACACATATTGTTTTTTTCAACTTACAGGTTATAATGTACCAGCAGTCATATAATCAATTTAATGCACTGTAGTCAGCATATTCTTAAAAATGAAATAGAAAAGAACGTAATAAATAGTATGTAGAAGTATTATTTTGATAATTTGCTTTAGATAAACGAGTGTACACACACTTCATCATAACATCCTTGTGAGTCATAGTAAAAATGTGGAAAAAATAATATAGATGATACTTTCACCATCTTAGGCTCCACTAAGCACTTCTCATCAAAGTCACCAATGATCTAAGTGCCAAGTGCATTTTTCATCTATTTCTAAGAAGCATCAAACACTGTTACCCTCTCCTTGGAGGATTATCTTCCCATGGCACACCAGATACCATTCCTGCTTGGCCCCCCCCCTGGATCTCTGGGCATATCCCTATTTTCTTCCCTTGCTCCTCTTCCTCTACTGGCCAAGTTTTAAATGCTGGTGTTTCACAGGAAATGTAATTTGTAACCCTGCAAAAATTTATGTGAAATATTTCACCTTCTTATCCAACCACCAGCTAAGATAAGATCCAAGAAAAACTATCACTTTTATAATGGCTTATTTACAGAAATGAACAGAGAATTCAAAACAATTTAACTAGTAACTTTATTAAATCTTGGTTCTTGAGCTCTTGCCTTTAAAAAATATATATGTTTTAGTTGTAGATGGATACAATAGCTTTATTTATTTATCTTTATGTGATACTGAGGATCAAACCCAGGGCCTCACACATGCTAGGCAAGCGCTCTACCACTGAGACACAACCCCATCCCAAGAGAATTTTAGAATTTTAATCTAAAATTTGTAGTTAGACCTACAAATTTTCAAGAGACCAGAGGCCCAAACCACCACCCACTGCTATTTTACTTAACTTACAAAAAATAAGGTCAATTAATATGACATAATACCATTTCATAACAATAAATTATTTTTCAAACAATTAAAAATAAAAGCATGAAAAGACATTTCTTTATAATGGTAATGTTCCAAAAACTTACTTCAATTTGGCAAGTCTGTCCCTAGTCTGATTAATTTCTTTTGATTTACTATGAAGCCAGTCTTCGAGCTGCTTTTTGTTGGGAAAATATCCCAACAATGAAGTTAGTTCTTCACTGTGCCTAGATTTTATTTTTCTGATTTGTTCATCTTTGTCAGCCTATAGGTAAAAAACAAAAATTTTTAAAAATCAAGTCTATATTTCCACTTAATATCAAGAACAAAATAAGACTGACTTAAAAAAAATAAAACTACAATAATGCAAAAAGGAAATATAAAATTTCTTGAAGTCTTAGATTGGGTATGGTCTTGCTAAGCCATAAGAGAAGAGTAATAAGTCTAAAATAAAAATTAAAAACTTTAGTGTGTTAAAAGTTAATAATATATATATATATATATGTTTAGTTATGTACTTCTAAACTAGCCAATCCCTAAAAAACAAATGCCAAATGTCTTCTTTGATATAAGGAGAGTAACTAAGAACAGAGTAGGGTCGAAGAGCATGAGAAGAAGATTAACATTAAACAGGGATGAGAGGTGGGAGGGAAAGGGAGAGAGAAGGGAAATTGCATGGAAATGGAAGGAGACCCTCAGAGTTATACAAAAGTACATACAAGAGGAAGTGAGGGGAAAGGGAAAAATAATACAAGGGGGACAAATGAATGTCAGTAGAGGGGGCAGAGAGAGAAGAGGGGAGGGGAGGGGAGGGGAGGGGGGATAGTAGAGGATAGGAAAGGCAGCAGAACACAACAGACACTAGTATGGCAATATGTAAATCAATGGATGTGTAACTGATGTGATTCTGCAATCTGTATATGGGGTAAAAAT